AATGAGAAAACAGAACCAGATAACTTATTCTTAACCCAAGTAAATAACTTAACCTGTACTATATCCAGCATTCTCTCCCTATAATTTTCATTATTATTTTGAAACACACAATCATTCCTCCAAAACCACAAATACCAAGAGACAATAAGGAATATGCACAAACTCATCTCCTTCCTTATTACTGTCTCTTATACACAACGAGTTTTGTATAAGCAAGAGTGGTAGTCATCGGGTGTTATGAAACCTAGGTGTGTTGTTTCAATAGTTCTTAACTTTTTAAATAAATTGACTTGAAATATTTATATGATAAATTAATAATAATTAAAAAAGTTATTTGATATAAAATGAAACTACTCAAAAGGTAGAAAGGAAGTTTTTTCTTGATGCTTCCGAAAGTCAAACTTCAGTAAAAAGTTACAATTACACAACCAAAAACTTGTTTAAGAATACTTTATGTAGATTTAAATAGTTCAGTGATTATCTTCTTTTGTTGGAAGTAAGAGATATTGAGTTCGAGTCATATAACATGTGGGTGGAGTAGGATAAAGAATGAGAAATGGTTATTTTTCATTGTGCAACTAAGACAAAAAAAAATAATGCTTCAAGTGGATTTTTTTTCATATAACACTTTATCTAAAAATATAAAATTTTAATTATTAATTAATTTTAATTATAATTTATATACTTAAATTAATTTTAATTAATATTTAATATATTTTCAAAACAATAAAAAACAAAAATCTACCACTGTAACACAGCATAGCAGAATACTTCCGCTATTGACAAATGAAACTTCAACGTAATTTTTTGTCCAAATTCCAAATGGGCCTAAATGAACCCACATTGGCATCCGTCAGTTGAGGGATCGAACTTATGATTCCTTTCTTCAGTTTTCACTCCTCCCACGAGGTTGAACGGCTTAACCTATATTAACTTGTTTGGTTTGAGGGGAAAGAATGAAAAAATGAGAAAATTTTTTATTAATGCTTCTGAAAGTTAAACTTCAGTAAAAAGTTACAATTATACAACCAAAAACTTGTTTAAGAATGCTTTGTGATCCTAAATATTTCAGTGATTATTTCTTTTCATTGGAAATAAGAGATATCTTGAATTTGAGTCATACGACATGTGGGTGAAATGAAATAAGAGATGTGAGATGGTTGTTTCTCATTGTGCAACTAAGACAAGAAAAAAAAAAAACTTCAAGTGGATTTTTTTTCATATAACACTTTATCTAAAAATATAAAATTTTAATT